TCTTGTTAGCATGTGTTGTTGGCCTATCAAATGAGCATGTATTTCTCCCTTCTTGAGGTTTAGTTTGAGCATGTTTTTGTGACTTTTTTAACATGTTATAACTCTGTTTTTAGTTGGTTTGATCACTTGTTGCATGCTCCTTACACTTGTAGTGTAAATCCTCTTTGCTAGCCTTGCATGCCTAATGAGTTAGCTTGTTATTCAAGCATGTTTTGACATAGTCTCAGCCCATTTTTGGTGTGACATGACCCCGTAAACTGTCTTCTACATCGGTCTGACACGACCATACCGTGTCTCCTATCCTGTTTTATTTATCAGTTTATTTTTCTGTTTTGTTACTCTCTTCAAACTCAAGTTGGTTAGTTCCTATCCTCCTTGAGTTTGAGGGGGGCTGTTAATGTACACCTCCTACACCACTAAAACCTACCACTACCACTACACACCTCCACTACTCCTCACCCACTCCACCTACCACCTCCACTTTACCTACTACCACCACCCACTCTACACCTACTACTCCCAAAACCTCTCTATATATAGGACTTGTAATATACAGATACATATAACAACACATCAATCAACATCAATCAATAATACATCAGTTTTTTAACAGGTCCCTTGAAACACTATCTCCACTGTTTCGTTAAAATTAAACATCCTCACCTTGGTTCCTATGGTTGGTATCACAGTGTTATTTGGCAAATCATCACTTGTAAAGTTATAAAACCACTTCGGATAATCAGGAAAATCAGTTTCATAAATCCCACTTATGTTCCTGCATAAAGGGATTAAAATGGTGTCATTAACTGTGAGAGAACAAAGAACAAATACCCAATAACATTGGTAATGCTATACAATATGACAAATTCCTTTTAAAGTTCAGAATGTGAAATTTTTTTCCTATATTGTGATTTTTTTTTTTTTGGTTTTAGTTAGTCATTGCCTTTTGAATTTTCTTTCCCTGCTTTAATGCCTTGAAAGAACAAGAGAAATGGTCAAATAAGATGGTAATAAACCCTTGGACCACTTTAGTCATTGCTATCATTGAAAGCAAGCAGAGAGCACCTGCTGTCTCATATGCCTCAATACCACTTCACTTTGATCTTGTTGAATTATATCAAGATTACTAGTCAATAAACCCTTGTTTTTGTTATAAATTCAGGCAATAAAAACCAAGATAAGAAAAATAAATAATAAAATATAAAGGGAAAAACGGAACTAAGAAAAGTGTGTACCGGTAGTAAGCAAGCAGTATATCTGTAGTTGGGTTCTGAAAGGTTATGTTGTTCGTGGCTGAACTAATCCTATTCCCATGCATTGACGCACATGAACTATTTGGGCAAACGATCTCTTTCTCAGAAACAACCACAAACATAGGGTGACTTATGTTTTGTGGCACAGATATAGGGTGTTCTTTGTTGGCTAAGCTCCTTAAGCGAGACAAGAATCCATTTCCTGCCTCAATGTCTCTGTGCAAAGGAAGGTTGGATGGGAAGATAGGGGTAGACGGGGCAGTATAGTTGCCTCTGTATTCTATAACTGCCGTGGTAACATTTTCAATGTCAGAATAACCTGCAGAAACAAATTGTCTAGCAGCCATGTAGTAGTGACCAAGGGGCTGATTTTCCGTGAGTAGGACATTCATGGTTTGCCCTGGGGATATCGCCACATTTGCTGTGGATATGGGCTTGAGGTAGTTCCCATCCATTCCAACAACCGTGACATTGTGTTCAGCAATTGCAAAGAAAAATTCAGAGTTCACAGCTGCGTTGATTATGCGGAGAAGATAGGTTTTGCCATAATCAACACTCATCCGAAATGTTGTTTCGTCTGCACGATGGTAAAGATGATTAGCATATAATATTCAAGTATCTCCCAAAATGAATTGTGTAAAGGACTAATGGTTGAGCATGGATTAGGCAGATGTGATTTCTTCTAATGCAATATTTATTCTACTGAGACACAAAAACTCACTTCATACCATTAGAACAATTAAAAAAAGCTCCGGGTTGGCCATTGATGACATAAGCCTGGGGCCGTGGTAAGTCTGCACCTATGGAGAGATCATAATGAAGGTTTTTGTTCACATCAAAAACAAACCAAGATCCTGCTAGACAAAAGAGAGAGTAAGATGAAGATCTATATGGGCAAAAATAAATAATAACTAACGAATGAATGGAACATAATAATAATTTTTTTGATCCTACTTAATCTAACAGAGTCTTATGATATAAATGCTCTATTGTTCACAAACATCGAGTGTTCAATTTCATTGTGCAACATCAATCATATATCTGGGTTTGCTTTATAAAAGTTTAAATCATAAACACTAAAACTTCATTATATATTGTTTTTTTTGTCAATTTTCATGCAAAGATCATTCTGTCAAAGTAAAAAAAAAAAAAAAAAAAATTATTTTTGCCTACTAGGGGTGCTGGGGTCCCTAGCACCACTGTTTCCCCCCCCCCCATTTATTAGCTCATATACCACCAAAAATAGTAGATAATAGTAGATAAAAATTGAAAGAGTAATGATATACAAATAAAATTAGGAGAAATTATAAATTTTTTTTAAAAAATTAAGGTTTGACTTGAATAATAAAATAAATTCTGAATTTTTTATTTTATTAATTTAAATCTTAATGTTTTGATCTGTTTTCAATATAAATCATCTATCTATTTTGGTCAAGTAGAACTGATTAAAAAAATGTATTTTAGTCATTCAACTTAACAAATAAAGGGACTTAAGACATTTTATATAGGAGAAGGATTTTCTCTAATCCAGATTTTGGACTGGAGAGTGTTGTTTGAGTCCGTGGAGCTTACCGTGGGTCTAATTTTGATAATCCAAACCGTTTATTTTGTCGGACATTTTGTCCACAGAAAAAATTAGGTCGATCCGATAACTGTAACTTGTGCAATTTATTACGTTTGTTACTAAAAAATGTATAGTTCATTTTTAAAAACACAATTGTTGTCTATTTTTTTAGTGAAAAATTGAATAAGTTATAATTGTCGGATCGACCTAATTTTTTTTGGGATGAAATACACAAAATACCCGACAAAATGAATGGTTCAGATTATCAAAATGGGATCCGTGTTAGGCCCCATAGGCCCAAATAGCGCCCTCCACTGGAGGGGATCCTTCTCCTTTCATATACACCTACATTATAGTTTAATGGCTAACAAACATACATTTTTTAGATTGAAAACAAATAAAATAAACAAAATTAAAAAACTCAAGTTTTATTTTGTTACAATGGTCAAACCTTTAACTTTTTTTTTTACCCTCTTAATTTTCTCATAAAATTATTATACATAATTTTTAAGCAGAATGATATCATTCTTAGTGATTTTTCATTTTTAATCAAAATACTTACCTCTTTTCTTTTTTCTTTTTTTCATAATTTCAGATATGTCATTAACCCATCATTCTATATATATAGATATATTTTGTGTGAGTTTTCTGTATGGAAATCATTTTCCAAAACGAAAATATGCTCATTAATAGTTGTCACAGTGAAGATTTTGGTTCTCCATGTTTTAGAAAGGAGCAATACTACAACCCCAGAAGTAAACACCAGGAAAATACACAGAATTTAAAATCAACGGTCCAGACTTAATGAAGATATGGGCCTGGAAAATACACAGAATTTAAAATAAACGGTCCAGACTTAATGAAGATATGGGCCTAAAAAAATAACATCACATATAAACCATAGATATGATATTCTAGTTTATTTTCTGGGACGTGGAGAATTTTGTTTAGAAAGTGACCTGAAGAATTTACATGGCCCTAATTCAAGGGATTTTTTTAAAGGGGAAATTATCCACAGGTCCCATGTGGAACATGTGGATATCATTTAATCCCATAATTTTTTAGGTACATCCAAAAGTCCTTTCCTCCATCTCTCTGATTTTTTCCTCCCTTTTTACGTTTTCTTCTTTCTCTTTTTTTCTACATTTTTCTCTCATCGTCTTCGTCATAGACGATGGTGCAAGTGTTCATGTCTTTCTCCATTGATCGGGGTTCACTGATAACCGCCAACCATCGAAATCAACTCGTGATTTCACTCTCACCGACGGCGAAGATATATATTTCCGACGAAGAAGATGAGTGGATCTACTTAGATCTGATGTAGATCTACTCAGATCTATCAGATCTGAGTAGATCTACATCAGATTTGACTAGATCTAAACAAAAAATAGTTGTCGGAGTATAATCCTCTCTCTACATCCACCTTTCTCCTTCGATCTCTTTTTTTTTTCTCTGCTATACACTTCTGTTTTTCTGTTCTAATAGAGAAAATTTTCGAATTCTGAACAAGTAGTTTTCGAGTTTTAGTTACAGGCGGTGAAAACTGTAAAATTTTTCAGTTTCAAAATTTTTTTTGGTGCTGGAATGAATCATGGTTTAAAACTGTACAATTTTGCAGTTTTATAACATTCTTTAGAACTGTAAAATTTTACAGTTTCATAACAAGTTTTTTAATTATTTTTTTCCGGCAATATTCTAGACATTCCGGTCAATCTTCGGCGACCGTTAAATGGAAGTCCGACGGTAGTAAGATGTGAACAGTGTCTGTAAATTAAAAAAAAAAGAAGAATTTTTTGGTAACAATTAAAAATGTATTGGACTAATTAGTGCAAGTATTTTGTTTTAGGATTAGCTGGATCTTGAACTTAGTACATGAGACTTATCAGTAAGTTCCCCTTTTTAAAACATTGATGTGATTTGGCCCATCAATTATTTTTGCCAAACACGGACTTCACGCGATATTTTCTTATTTTTGAAATAATTGACAGACGCAGAAGAAAAACAACTACAAAAGAGTGTACAGAACAACACTCACAAGAATTACGATATTGTGTACCGAACACTCCTATACTTTGCCCTATTTTGACATTTTTCTAGCTAGATATTTTTTTAGTGCAAATAATAAGACTACAGGCAAAAAATTAGGCGATATTTATTAATAAATTTCATTTCACAAATAAGTATTTTAATTAGTCTCAAATTTTTTATATTGATCTGTTAAGTTTTATTAGTGGAGAGTTTTTTTCTGTGTGGTCCTATTTTTTTATTTTGATAGTGTTTTGGTGGACAATTATGTCATTTTATTAATGTGACAGGTATGATATGATACTCTAATGTGACATGTATTAATATGATAATCTAACGATGTGACACTCTAAAAAAATTTAAAACTCCTTAATGTATTTTTTTCTAAATGTGATAATGTGACGGGTATGATGTGACATTTCAAAATTTTTACTCTAAAAAAAATAAAATTCCTTAGTATACATTTATCAAACATGACAACGTGGCGGGTATGATGTGACATTTTAAAAAAAATTAAAAAGTCCTTAGTGTACTTTTCTTAAATGTGACATGCGACATTTCAACGTGACGGGTATAATGTGACACTCTAAAAAAAATTAAAAATATTTTAGTGTATTTTTCTCAAATGTGACACTCTAACGTGACGGTATAATGTGACACTAAAAAACTATTTAATATATTTTTTTTCCAAATGTGACACTTCAATATAGCGGATAAATGAGTCATTACACATCTAAAAGGACTAAATAGATTACAAGAAAAAAAAATATAAAACTATTATAAGTCCAAAATATGAGACTTATTGATCATATAAAACAATTTTAGTTATATCTAGTATCAGATGATGCAAGTTTTCATTAAAAAAAAATAAAAATAAAATAAAATTTCATTATATTTTATATAATTGATTCTATAATCAGGTTTGGATCTACATATTTATTGTAGAGCAAAAAACATTCACTATACCATATAAGAGTTTTAGAGATCAAATTTTTTAATATCTAATGGTGAAAATTTTGTTGTAAAAGATATTTAGAGATCAATTTATATCGTCGTGAAGATAGTCGTTAAAAAGTAGTCCCAAAAAGTCAAAAACAAATTTTTTAGCGACAAAATTTTGAAAATGTCACTAATAAATATACTTTTAGAGACAAAAAAAATTTAGTCTCAAAATGGTTTATTTTTTGAGACAAAACTTTAGTCCTAAAAAGATAATAATTCATCATTAATATCTAACTTTTGTTGTTAAAAATAGAAATATGACACTTTTTGTAACAAAAATATTTGATTTCTAAAAAGTAATTTTATTCCCAAATTTTGGTCTTTTACGTTGTGTTTAGTTGAGAGATTTGAGAAGAGATTTGCAAAGAGAAAGGAAAAAAAGTCTGAAATTAGGTGAAATAGAGGTATATTTTATTCACATTTCATCTATTTTTTCTTTTTTCTTTTCCAAATCTTTTTCAAAATTTTCTAACTAAGGCCTCGTTTGGGAACAAACTATTTTGGGACTCGTTTGAAATGTAGTAATGTTTTAACTTTTTATAAAAAAATATATAAAAAAATAAAAAAATAATATGACAATTTATTATGACATTTTAATTTTTTAACAAAAATATAAAATTAACAAACGAGACGTAAATATAACATAAAACTTTTAGAAAAATGCTTGGGAGCACTAATTAGTGCTCCCACTAATTAGGTGGCAGTGGGTCCCGTCATTAATGATGTGATGTTTTGGTCTTGGAGTTGTATTTTTTTTATTAACTTTTTATGTTTTTAATGCATTAATGCTATTTTGAAATATAGTAATGTTTTAACTTTTTATAAAAAAAACATATAAAAAAATAAAAAAATAATATGACAATTTATTATGACATTTTAATTTTTTAACCAAAATATAAAATTAACAAACGAGACGTAAATATAACATAAAACTTTTAGAAAAATGCTTGGGAGCACTAATTAGTGCTCCCACTAATTAGGTGGCAGTGGGTCCCGTCATTAATGATGTGATGTTTTGGTCTTGGAGTTGTATTTTTTTTATTAACTTTTTATGTTTTTAATGCATTAATGCTATTAGTGGTGATATTTTTAATGGGATGAATCATTGTTGAAACTTTTATAGTCAGCGGAAGAGTTCAACTGTAATTCAAAAGTCAGAAGTCATCCAGGTAAGTTGCCAATGACATCTAGCCTAACCTGCTCATTGAGAGGTTGAGAAGTCAAATCGCATTAGAGATGTTGAGTGGATGTACATATACATCAGTT